GCACACAAGAAGGGATATTTCTGTGTCAACAGAAATATGCAAAAGATTTGTTGCAAAAGTTTGGGATGCTTGAATGCAAGCCAATCTCAACGCCAATGGAGCCCAATGTCAAGCTGTGCGCATATGAAGGCAAAGACTTGGAAGACACAACGATGTATCGACAATTGGTGGGTAGTCTAATCTACTTGACATTGACTCGGCCTGACATTTCGTATGCAGTTGGTGTGATGAGTCGATACATGCAAAATCCAAAGAAGTCTCATTTGGACGCAGTACGACGAATACTGAGGTATGTGAAAAGTACAATTGACTATGGTCTGTTGTACAAGAAAGGTGAAGATTGCAAGCTAGTTGGTTATTGTGATGCTGACTATGCGGGAGATCATGACACTCGTCGATCAACTACCGGGTATGTATTTAAGCTTGGTTCAGGAACAATTTCTTGGTGCAGTAAGAGACAGCCGACAGTATCTTTGTCAACCACTGAAGCTGAGTACAGGGCAGCAGCAATGGAAGCTCAAGAGATCACGTGGCTGACACAGCTGATGAATGATCTACATCAATTGGTAGATTATTCAGTCCCGTTATATTGTGATAATCAATCAGCAGTTCGTTTGGCGGAAAATCCAGTCTTTCATGCAAGAACCAAACATGTGGAGATACACTACCATTTTATTAGAGAGAAGGTTCTGCAAGAAGAGATAGAGATGAGACATATCAATACAGATGATCAAGTTGCGGACTTGTTCACAAAAGGTTTGAGTACCGGCAAGTTGGAAAGATTTCGTCGTCAACTCAATGTGGTGCAAAGGATGTGAGCTGGTGTTGAGGGGGAGTGTTAAAGTATCAACCCCAGCTCAACCCATTTTGAGGAGCAATCTCTACAAGGTTCTAGAAGTGTAAACAACAAGGTGATAATACCACTAGAAATATCTAGAATAATACATAGGAGAAAACAATAGCTGAAGTAAATGCTCAAGTCGGTGGAGTAAGCAAGTTGGCAGATTGAAACTAGAACAATCTAGAATTCTCAAGTGAAGTCCAGCAAAGTAAGCAACACCAAACCTTCTAAAAATTCCTAGAAACTACAAGATCCTTTGTCAAAGTCGGTTGCTACCTCTATAAATAGGCATGAAGCTTGTCAATGTAATCAATCAAGAAGTGTGTCAACAAGAAGAGTGTGAATAAGTAGAGTGAGCTAGAGAGTTAGTAGTTCTTGTGAGAAGTGTGAGTGAAGAGAGAAAGAGTCCTTGTAAGAATTTGTCTTTCCTTTGAGAGTTGTCTTGTTGTAATATTTTGTGAGTCTAATACAAGTAAATTGTTTACTTGTTTTGTCTCCAACAAGTCTCTACATTAGAGTTGTGTACTCTAAATTTGCTCAACACTTAATTGTTGGGTAATAAACGAGCACGCTATAAGAAGCATCCGAATTTTCATAGTGGTGATTTTGTTAAATAACTTCTAGAAGAAAAGTTTTCTTAATAACTGCCTTTCTGTAATTTTTTTTGGGAAAATTGGGGGAAAAAAAGGGGACAATCCACACAAAGTGATGGAAGAATACTTTAAAGGTATACCCGTACGGCGATACTCCAAAATAAAATAATTCAAAGATCAAGCCGATTGGTTATACTATTTTTTTGTATTTTAAAAAAATGGGTATAGCCGGTCGGCCATACTATTTTTGTCAAAAAAAATTTAAAAAAATAACGTATAGCCGCACAGCTATACTATTTTTTTAAAATAAGAATAAACCGGGTATAGCCGCTCGGCTATACTAATTTTTTTTTTGACAGTGATCATGATTATTTTCTTAAAATTTCTCATTTCAGTACATGACAGTGATCATGCTTCCTAATTCTTCATCTTTTGTCATTTACGGTGATTTTGCATCATAATCTTTGTTCGTCATTTACAGTGATCGTGCTTCCTAATATATCATTGTTTTTTGTAACTAACTGTTCATATGTTGCTCATTGTTTTTTGTATCATAATTTTTTTTTTTTTACTTATGTGTTAGACTCACTCTCTTTTTTAAGCAAAAACATGAAGAATTAACATGTCCAAATGAACTAAAAAATTATCATTCAAGATAAATAAATGATATCAATTCAAAACCTAGTTAGTAATATACGGGAACGGCAAAATACGTATAAAACAAAATGCATGTGTATGATTTGGTCTATTTTTATAAAAAGAACGATGAAAAATACGGCCATAAAATATGGAAACAGAAAATTAATATGTTTAGTATGTACGTGTATAATACGATTTATAGGGAAAAATATGAATATAATATACGGATACATAAATTACTTTTGTTAGTCCAATTTTGTATTGAAATCTCAAATATCAAATATTGAAGAAAGTAACTAATGTAAATACAATAATTGTTGTAATCATTAATCTAATGTATTTAGAAAATAACTAATGTCGACCAACAATAAGATTTGTGAAGAAAAGTGTTTTTCTTTGGGTAAGGAAAGAAGAAGGCTTACAACTTTTTGAAAGGAGTTGTAAAACCTATTTTCCCCGCACACAAAAAAAAAAATAAAAAAAAAAAATATAATGGCATGTTTACTAATCCGTAATTAGATTTAGGATGAATTGAATTGAGTAGGAGTTGGATTGAGGAGAATTAGATTCCCGATTCTTTGTTCGTCATTTACAGTATGATCGTGCTTCTTAATATATCATTGTTTTTTGTAACTAACTGGTATGTGTCCTCGCAGTTTCTGTATGGGTAACCGATACTAAAGTTATGCTCTCTGCATGTGGGTAATATATCTTGATTTCTCTTTCTTAAGAACTTTATTTAGTAGTTATTTTTAAAGATTATTTTTTTCTTAATTAATATCTTCTTTTTTCTACGTTAAAGATATGAAAAGTGCACACATCTTTTATTAGAATAATTCAACAATGTATTTTAATGATCGAAACCGTCTATATATTCTTGTCAAACTTAGCACCAATGGCGGATCTAGCCATGGGTAGGCAGCTGCCTACTTGAAAATTTTCAGAAAAATAAAATATGTATGCAGCTCCCTAAACCCAAGACCCTAGAGTCATATGTATGAGAGAGAGAGAGAGAGAGAGAGAGAGAGAGAGAGAGAGAGTTCATTATGTAAATTTTGTCTATCCGACTTTCGAATCCTGAAATCGTCACTGCTTAGCACAACTACATATCCATATCAAACTTAGTACATCTCAAGATCTCTGACAAAATCCTTTTTGTTGGTGATTTTTACACTTGCGATTAATTCTCACATTATCATTAAAATCTGAGTTGAGAACAGAAGTCATAACGGAGTTGGCTACTTTAGACTAGTAGTACTACTACGTCAAGTTTCATCACCATCTTCAGGTGAGGGAAAGTGAAACATGAGGTTACCCAGTGCACCAACAGGGAAATTCAGCATGCAAAATGGAAGTGAAGAATTGGAGTGGAGCAACCACACCCTGCTTGTCAGACGCGACGCATTCATGATTGCGCTCAGGCAATGGAGGCTGAACACCGCAGTAACTGGATCTTCTTCACTTACATCACCCCCAATAATGCAATTCTGCAGCAACACATTAAGTTAAACCAAGGAAGGAAATATTTGATCATTCATGTATGTGGCCAAGGAAATTGTTGTCAAATTTTAACTCTGTAAAACTATATGAAGTTGAAGGACGGTGCCTCCATCTTTTCTAGTTAGCCAGAAAAAATAATGCAGGCTGTGGTTTTCCTTAAGGGACGAAAACAATCCTATACATCCACCAATGAAGAAAACTGGACTGGTTGTATTGGTTTCCTCTTAATTTTAATTGCAGCAGCTTATTCGTTATATAACCATTGTATACAAGCTTTTATATCACAGAGAGTGTTCTTTTTACCTCGTTTGTCAGAAGAACCTCCTCATTCGCTGCAGAGAGCCTAACTTCAGTATCGGTTATGCGTGCATAAACTGAGATGGCACATAGAAGACCAATGAGTAGCATATAGAAGGTGTTAATGTGAACCAGTGGTACATGCATAAGATAAGTCGAGATAAATTGTGCCTTTAGAAAACCAGTTTAAAGGGACAGTATAATTCAAAATGGCAAGTGTGATCATTTGTTTTAGCAACTGTAAACCTGTCATAGATGATTGTAAAAAAGACGAACAAACTAGGAATTCCATGCAAAAATGCATGCTGCCAGTAACACAAACAAGATCACTACAGTGATGCAAAGTCACAGACAATAATCCATCTGGACTTCTTCTCAAAACCATAACCCAAATGAACTGTAAATGTCATGGTGTGACTTGTCTGTGCTACTTCTACAACAGCGATACACTAGAACGGAAAGGGGCTACTCTCCCTCCCTTCCCCTTAAGTTCTCACTACTAAAATATTATCACAATCTGATTCAAACTACAACTTATGATGCTAAGTTGCAGACAAATAGTCCATCTCAGACCTGTAAATTCCCTCCGTTGAAGTTGGCCATGGTGGCAATGCTAAGTTATATACAATGAATCTTAAAGGGTTAAGAACTAAGAAGTATCATCAAAGTCAGCTACTGAAAGGTGAAATTCTAAGAAAATGAACATCTTCACATAAGAATTAAGAAAATGGAAAGGGGCTTGGTCTGAACTTGAATCAGTAAATTTCCATGTTGAACATTGTAGCACTGCATTTAATTTCAAAAAGTAATTACACAATGGCAAGTACCTGTCACCCCAAAACAGCGCAAATGTATCATGTGACGTTGAAACTCCACCGATGGTATCCCAACAATCACTTGATATTTGAAATTTGCAAAACCTGCCTGCATCTGATCAGCAGGGTAAACATTAATCAATGCCATTTCAGAGTATCTGACTCGTCGAGTTCCTGTGATTCCATTCACAAGTAGAACATATTAGAAAAAGAGATGCATACAAAGATTCTCAAGAAACTGAAACCAAACAACAAAGCAAGTATGGGTAAGAGTGCCCCCAAGAAATCTTCAATATTCCTGTTGAAGGTTATGAAAATGATCACAAATTAAAGAAAATGGGAATGAAAACCTTTAAAGATTCTGAAAACTTTGAGTTTTCAGTGAATTCCTTTTCCAAGAACCAACTAAAACCTATCATAAACTTGAAACATAAAAAATCCCCTTCAATAATTTTCGAGTTTATATCAACAAAAAATTGGCAAATTAACAACGATTAAACTGATTTCCAGGAAACTTGAAATCAAACTTACAACAGAAACTTGAAATCAAACCCACGAAATTGAAGAAATAAGAAATAATTAGTGAACGAAGATGTTTTTGTACTGACTGGGATTGTTGAACAAGAAGCCAACCACATCCTCGCCTTCATCACCATGGATCGCGATCGACTCTTCACTGCGGGCGAGAGCCAGCGCGGAGAACAAGTGGTGGAGGTTGATGCAAATCCAACGGGTCTCGTTGCACCGGAACTGAGCGAACATCAAGCTTCGCATCCGCAGCGCAATGCAGACCTGTGGGAACATCGGATAGTTGCTCACGGACACCAGCGTTAAATCCTCCGGTGAGATGCGAATGTCGGCAAACTGGACCATTTCGACCAAGGGCATCACCGCCTGCTTCAGAAGAACCGCGCCTTGGTCTAGGCTGAGCTGGAACATGGTGGACAGAGAGAAAACCAGAGAGACAGAGAGAGGGATTTACTTGGCGGGAAAGTAAAAAGGTAATGGACGGTTGTGTGCGTTGAAATTCAGCCGACTGGTGTATACAGAGCTGGGTGAGGTGGGGCCCATTCGTATTCTGTTTTAATTTTGTTCATATTACACTTTCGCCCCTCTGGTTATAAGAACTTCAGTTGCATTGTCAATGAAGTTCTTTTAATTGAAATGACACCCCAAATGGTGAAAAATGCTTAATAATAAAAAATTTAAAAATAAATATGGTAACAAGAGATTGAGGCCGACTTTACTTGATTTCTGCTAGTCCATACATTATACTTGATTATTATTATTATTATTTTTTTTTTAAAGGGCAACATTCTAAACTACTCTAATGTATAGACGGGGAGGAAATTCGAACTTGGGTGAAAGGAAGCGGGCGCACTGTCTTAATCAACTGGCCTAACCCATATCTTCTAGCATTTTTCAATTATGTTTTGGAACAAACATGGCTTATGATACCACCACAGAACATGGTAATAATTAGTTACAGAAAAAGCAGGCAGATATTCAACAAGCTAACATGTTGCATTATATGTAAAGCTGTATTAATTGTTTACAAAGAAAGAGTTATGATGAACAGGATCAATATTCTTGACAAAATCTCACACACTCACATCATCTTTTGTTTTTGGACATTTTCCTGACAATGCATTAACATCTGATTTGAGTTAACAACTCAGAAACACTTTCTCTCATCACATCACCTTCAGGCTTCAGGCTTCAGGCTTGAGGAGGACCAAAGCAAAACATGAGGTTAACAAGTCGAGTAACAGGGCAAAGCAGCACGACATATAAACCATTGGACTGGCCCAGCAACCACACCATCTGGGACAGCTCTGCAGCAGTCTCGATTGCGCGAGCGTGTTCGAGATTGAACAACAAGAAAACTGGATCTTCCTCCCCCACATCACCCCCGATAATACACTGCCTCAGCTGCATGCATAACAAAATAACATGATCATTTATGTGATAAGGAAAGACTGTGCAGCTTATACAGTGGCTGCATTGGTTTTCTTTGGATCCTAACTGCAGCTTATACATATTATTTCATGGCACAGAAGAATAGATGCTTTCCAATGGAAATCAGAACCAGGATTTGCTTAATTAGCACTGTGTTTTCAGAAAATTGATTAGCAAGCTGTGATAAGGTTGAGCATCAAGTTGTTCTAAACTACAAATCACGCGAAAAGTTGGGAAATACCTCTTGACTGTAAACAACTTCTATATCTCCTACAGAGAACTTAACTTCAGTATCTGTTACACGTGCAGCAACTGCGATGACACATACGAGCCTAGTGAGCAACTCAATGAGGAAACGAAAATCAAGTATCAGTGTTAAAATCTTGTGAATGTGTGTATCAGCATGCATACACCACAAACAAAGAACATGATGCAAAATCACCAGTAAATGATGAAGAATTAGGAAGCATGATCACTGTCAAGCACTGAAACGAGAAAATGATCAACATATTCTCATCACAATATTCTGACTTGATCGTTGTAGCAATTACACTGACAAAGTACCTAACACTCCGATATGGCCCAGATAAGTGATAAGACGCCTAAACTCGTTCGAATGTATCCCGACGATCACATGATATTCATGTTGGAACTGAGGTGTAGGGGCAGCCAGCTCACGAAGGTGCACAGAAATCAATGGGATTTCACCTTCAATGAATCGCCGAGTTCCTAGATTATTGAAATTGTAAACAAGAAGAGACAGAAAAATTAGATAAGGAGGATATACTAGAAAGAAAAAGTGCAGATCATTCATCAAATTTAAGCAGATTTTACGACAAAACAATATTGGGAAACACAAACCACTGATGCAAACAGATTGACAGAAATCCTCAAGAAACGGATAGACCCAGCAACAAGATTATTTTTTGAAACCAAATAATTCAGACTGATTGACCAAACTCTTCAACAAACTGATAAACCCAGCAACAAGATTAATCTTTGAAACCAAATGACAAAGCTAAAACGACCATGAACTTAATAAAGAACAGAGCCCCAATAACAGATGATGCTATAAGAACGCAGCAAAAAACGTAGACAGTTCATCAAATTTAGACACATTTTACAACAAATGTTAGGACATACAAACAATGGCAGCAAGATTAATTATTGAAACTTTAAACGACCATAAACTTGAAAAAGAACAGAGTCGCAATAGTAGTGTAATGGAATCTTGAAATCTTGAAACGTTGAAATAAATAATTAGAGGCCAGAGGCCGATCAAAATTAAAGAAGCGAAGATGGTATGTACTGACTGCAATTGCTGAGCTCAAATCCACCAAAATCATCATTTTCATCATCCACATAGAGACCGACAAAATCATCATCATCCCTGACTTGACAGAGATTGTTGTGGTACAAGCTATGGACGTCGAAGGCAAGCCAGACATTCTGATGGTTGATACAGGTTTCGAACATCGAAGATTTCATCCACAGGGCCAAAGTAACGGTTGGGGTTAAGGACGTGGGATCGAAGGGTGTCAATGTGACTTCGTCTGGTGTGACGTAGATCTCGCCCCAGTCGAAGCCCATCTGAGTGAAGGGTTTCACTGCCTGCCTTAGAAGAACAGTACCTTCGTTTAGGCTAAGTTCAAGCAGCATGGTAGTCAACAAAGAGAGAGAGAGAGAGAGAGAGAGAGAGATTGTGTTTCTTGAAGAAAGTAACAGAGCTCAGACGGTTGAGGAATGGCTTGAAATTTCAGGAAATTGAGTGAAGAGACAGAGCTTTTTAACTACTTTCTTGGCGCGAAAGTTTTTCAGAAACGTGGACGGTTAAATTCGTTACAAGTCAGCTGACTGGTGGTGTATACAGAGTTAGGTGGGGCCTATTCGCATTCTATTTACACTTTCCCCCCTGTAGTTTTAAGAACTTCAGATGCACCTCACTAAAGTTCTTTTAATTGCAATATTACACCCCGAGTTCTTATTTAAGTTTGTATGTTAGAAATTCTGATGCTTGTTTCATACATGAGTTGTGGATGTCAAAATTTGGGTGATTTCTTATTCAAGGCTGTATGCTACCAATTAAGTTCTCAAAATCCAAAACCCAGAAGTTCTGAGTTCTTCCAATCCATGGTTGTATGTTACCACCACAGAACATGTTAAGTGTTCTTGTTCAGCATGATTTTTGTCAACAATTGAAATCATATGAAACTTGCAAAGAAGTAAAAGTTAGAGAAAAAAGCAGACAGATAATTCAACCAAAACCTAACAAGTTGCATTATGTAAAGCTGCATTAATTGTTTACAGACTTTACCTGCAATTGAATATTCATGTCAAACCAAGTACAACAGACAACTCAAAATGATGAAAAGCTGCATTGTTTACAACAGACAACTCAAAATGATGAAAGCTGCATTGTTTACAAAGGATTATGATGAAAAGCTGCATTGTTTACAACAGACAACTCAAAGTATTTCACACTTGTGATCAAACCGCATTATCTTGACCATTCTCATCACCTTCAAGCTTCAGGCTTCAGGCTTCAGGCTTCGGAAAGTAATAATTGAGGTTACCAAGTTTACCAAAAGGGCAATCCAGCATGACAGATGAACCATTAGACTGGCCAAGCAACCACACCATGTTTGACATGACTGAAGCATTCATGATTGCTCTAGCGTGACGGAGATTGAGCACCAAGGAAACTGGATCTGCCCCCACATCACCCTCAATAATACACTGCTCTGGCTACAAGACAAAATAAAACAAGGAAATATAGATCATTTATGAGCTTAGGAAATTTAACTTCTTGTGATGTTATCATGTTGTAGTGTATGACAGCAAATGTAGTGAGTGAAAAAAAAAACAAATGAAATCGAGGGACGGTTTCATATTATTTCATGTACATCCAAAAATTAGGGAAAATTCTTATTTCAAGGCACAGAAGAATGGATGTTTTCAGAAAATTGTGGCAAGCTGTGATAAGGTAGAGCAAGTTGTTCTGAACTACGAATCACACATAAGGTTGGAAAAATACCTTCTTGAGAATAGGATATGGTATAGCCACCCCATTTCCATTTAAGAACCTAACTTGAGTATCTGTTACGCTTGCAGAAACTGCAATGGCACGCAGGAGTCTTGTGAACAACATATACAAGATTATATATATGAACAGTTGGGAAATGCCTTAAAATCCTGTGAACCTTGTGAATGTTCAGCATGCATACAGCCCAAACAAAGATCATCAAAATATGAACTCACCAGAGATTATATGCAAATTTACAGTAAATGAAAAAGGATTGTGAAGCATGACATTGTCAAGCACTGAAATGATAAATTCTAAGAAACTGATGAACATGTTCTAATCAGAATTAAGAAATAAAAAAAAGGGCATGCTCTGAATCTAAATCAGCAATGCATTTGACTAAGATCTACTTTCTGCAAGCAATTACACATTATACCTGCCACCTCGAACTGGGATAGCTTCATGATAATAACCCTAAACTGCTCCGCAGGTATCGCCACTCTTACTTGAAATTGATATTGGAGATGAGGTACAGGCAACATCTCATTTGACCTTGAAAGCAATGGAATGTGAGTTCGATAGCCTTGCAGAGTTCCTAGCATTATTGAAATTGTAAACAAAAAGAGACCAGGAAAATTCGTCAAGTGTAAACGATTCAGACAAAACCAATGATGCAGACAGATTGACAATAGTCCTCAAGAAATTGATAGACCCTACGACAGAATTATTACTTTTTGTATACAAAATAATGCAGACAGATTGACAAAAATCCTCAAGAAACTGATAAACCCGGAAACAAGATTAAGTTTTGGAACATAAACTTGAAAAGGAACAGTTCATCAAATTTACTGTTCTAGCTATTAGAACACAGAAAGGCAGACAGTTCATAAAATTTAAACAAAACAATACTAGGAAACACAAAGCAATGATCCAGACAGTGCCCTGCAACACGATTAATTTAACCAAATGAACTTTAAACAGAGCCCCAAAAACCAACTAGAAATATCATAACTGGAAAAAGAACAAATTCCCACCCAAATCTCAAAATCTTGAAATAAGAAATTAGAGGGCAATAAAAAACTTAAAGAAACTAAGATGGTATATACTGACTGGTATCGAGGAGCCCAAAGTCAATGTGACCACTGGTTTCATCGCCAGAGAGACGGAGAAATGCATGAGTCTTGGCTCGAAGGAGATTGTGGTACAAGATACGGAGGTCTAAGCCAAGGGAGAGGTTCTTGGTGCAGGTAAAGGAGTTGAACGTCCCAGGTTTCATCCGCAGGACCAAGACGACGCTACCTGAGGCTTCTGCTATCAATGTGACGACGGTCGGTGAGACGTAGATCTCGCCATTGTAGGCTTGCGCCTGAATGAACGGTGTCACTGCCTGCCTTAGAAGAAGAGCACATGGGTCCAGGGTAAATTGAAACATGGTGATGAACAGAGAGAGAGAGAGAGTTTGTGTTTCTTGAGGGAAAAGTAACAGAGAGAGAAAGAGAGAGAGCTAAGGAAATTGAGATTCTTTTTGGATGAGCTTAAGGTGAAGAGGTTTTTAACTACTTTCTTGGCGGGAATTTTTTGATAAACCTGGACGGTTTGGTATTTCCATTTTCTGTTATGTATGAGGTTTATTATTTTACACTTCCTTCCCCGTTGTTTCAAGAATTTCATATTATTTCCATTTAAGTTCTTTTTATTGCAACGATACCCCTCATTTACCCTTAGATTATATATGTGGGATGTGGGATGTGGGATGTGGCATGTGGCTAATTCACACAAGATTTCAAAAATTGGGTGCATTAGCATCTCACAGCCAATTGAGATGATTCAACCAAGGTGACTGGTGTTTGACCAAAAAAAAGCTGACTGGTGGTGTATACAGAGTTAGGCGGGGCCCATTCGCATTCTATTTGTTTCTGTTCATATTACACTTTCACCCCTGTAGTTTTAAGAACTTCAGATAGACCAGTTCTTTTAATTGCAATATGACACCCCACAAGTTTGTATGTTAGAAATTCTGATGCTTGTTTCACACATGAGTTGCTGATGTCAAAATTTGGGTGATTTCTTAATTAATCCAACAATTAAGTTGTTCTTAAAATCCAAAACCCAGAAGTTCTATGATGAAAAGCTGCATTGTTTACAGAGGATTATGATGAAAAGCTGCATTGTTTACAAAGGATTATTGTTTACAACACACAACTCAAAGTATCTCAAACTTGTGATCAAACCGTATTAAAATCTGATTTGAGTTAGACCATTGTCATCACCTTCAGGCTTCAGGCTTCAGGAAAGTAATAATAGAGGTTACCAAGTCTATCAAAAGGGCAATTCAGCATGACAGATGAACCATGGGACTGGCAAAACAACCACACCGTCTTTGACATGACTGAAGCATGCAGGATTGCACTAGCGTGACGGAGATCGAGCACCAAGGAAACTGGATTTGCCCCCACATCACCCTCAATAATACACTGCTCCGGCTACACAACAAAATAAAACAAGGAAATATTGATCATTTATGCTCTGAGGAAATTGAACTTCTTGTGATTATCATGTTGTAGTGTACGAAATCGAAGGACAGTTTCATATTATGGGAAAATGCTTATTTCATGTTTTCCGATGGAAATAAGAACCAGAATTTGCTTAATGTATACTGTGTTTTCAGAAAATTGTGGCATGCTTTGATAAGGTACAGCAAGGTTGGAAAAATACCTTCTTGAGAATAGGAAATGTGAACATCCCCCCATTTCCATTTCCTACAAAGAACTGAACTTGAGTATCTGTTACGGTTGCAGTAACTGCAATGGCACGTAGGAGTCTAGTGAGCAACATATACATATGAAGAGTTTGGGAATGCCATAAAATCCTGTGAACCTTGTGAATGCTTATCAGCATGCATACAGCACAAGCAAAGATCATCAAAATATTCTAAGTCACAGTAAATGACAAAGGATTGTGAAGCATGACATTGTCAAACACTGAAATGATAAATTCTTAAAAATGATCAACATGTTCTTATCAGAATTAAGAAATAATAAAAAGGGTATACTCTGAATTTAAATCAGTAATTCTGTGTCAAACACTGAAATGATAAATTCTAAAGAATGATCAACATGTTCTTATCAGAATTAAGAGAAAAAAAAAAGGCGTGCCTTGAATCTAAATCAGTAATTTAAATCAGCAATGCATTTGACTAAGATCTAATTTCTGCAAGCAATTACATGTTATACCTGTCGCCCCGAACCGGGACAGCGTCAGGATAATAACCCTAAACTGCTGCACAGGTATCCCCACCCTTACTTGATATTGATATTGGAGTTGAGGTACAGCCGTCACCGCACTTGACCTTGAAAGCAATGGAATGTGAAGTTGAATGGTTCGCTGAGTTCCTAGCATTATTGAAATTGTAAACAAAAGAGACGAGGAAAATTAGATAAGGAGGAGATTTTAGAAATCCTCAAGAAATTCGTCAAGTTTAAACAATTCAGACAAAACCAATGATGCAGACAGATTGGCAAAATTCCTCAAGAAACTGATAAACCCAGAAACAAGATTAATTTTTGGAACCAAAAGACAAAGTTAACTAGGGAACACAAATCAATGATTCAGATATTAACTTCACTTGAAATAGAACTTGAAAAAGAAATTAACTTAAAATCTTGAAATAAGAAATTAAGATCTAAGATGGTATATACTGACTGATATCGAGGAGCACAAAGTCAATGTGACCACTTTCATCGCCAGTGAGACGGAGAAAGGCATCATTCCTGGCTTGAAGGAGAAGGAGATAGCGGTACAAGTGACGGATGTCGAAGCCAAGGCAGAGGTTCTCAGTGCAGGAAAAGGTGTGGAACATCGAAGGTTTCATCTGCAGGAATAAGACACCGCTACCTGAGGCTGCTCTCAATGTGACAACGTTCGGTGCGATGTAGAGCTCGCCATGGTAGGTGCCCATCCGATTGAAGGGTATCACTGCCTGCCTTAGAAGAAGAGCACATGGGTTCAGGGTAATTTCAAACATGGTGGTGAACAGAGAGAGAAAGAGAGAGAGTTTGTGTTTCTTGAGGGAAAAGTAACAGAGATAGAGAGAGTGAGAGAGAGCTAAGGAAAATGAGGTTCTTTTGGGATGAAGCGACAGAGGTTTTTAACTACTTTCTTGGCGGGAGAGTTTTTGATAAACTTGGACGGTTTTGGCAGTATTTCCATTTTCTGTTATGTATGGGGTTTATTATTTTACACTTCCTTCCCTGTTGTTTCAAGAATTTCACATTCTTTCCATCTAAGTTCTTTTTATTGCAATGATACCCCTCATTTACCCTTAGATTTTTGGACACGGTCTGGAAGTGTAACGGATATATGTGGGATGTGGCATATGATATAACAGTGCCTAATTACAATGGGCTTATAGCGCAAGTGGTATTTATTACTTTTTCGAGGTAATGTTTAATTATATATTGTAAATAAGTTATGAAAGTAGTTAGACACATTTAACTATATATTGTATGTAAAGCTTCATTGTCTACAAAGGATTATGTGATGAATAGGATCAGAGTCATTTTCATTGAGAAGACTTTATACATTTCAGCAATATCTAAGTCAAACTGATATATCCAGCAACAAGAATCCTCAAACCAATTACAACAGACAACTCAAAGTATCTCACACTTGCGATCAAACCACATTATCTTGAAAATGGAGAAAAATAGAATTTGCATAATTTGAAATCTGATTTGACTCTGAGTAAGAACTCAGAGATGGTTAGACCATTCTCATCACCTTCAGGCTTCAGCGAAAGTAATACTCAAGGCTACCAAGTCTACCAAAAGAGAATTTCAGCACGACAGACAAACCATGGGTCTGGCCAAACAACAACACCATGTTTGACAGAATTGAAGCATTCAGGATTGCGCCAAAGTGACTCAGATTGAACACCAAGACAACTGGATCTTCCCCCACAGCACCCTTAATAGTACACTGCTTAGCCTACACAACAAAATAAAACAAGGAAATATTGATCATTTATGTGCTTAGAAAGTGGAACTTCTTGTGATGTTATCGTGTTCTAGTATATGACAGCAAATCTAGTTAGTCAAAAAAATATGACATCGAAGGACGGTTTCATAATATTTCATGGCACAGAAGAATGGACGTTTTCCGACGGAAATCAGAAACCAGAATTTGCTTAATGAATACTGTGTTTTGATCAAATTGATTGTCAGACCATAACTACCATATTGTGGCAAGCTGTGATAAGGTACAACATCAAGTTGTTCTAAACTATGAATCACACGTAAGGTTGGTAAAATACCTGCTCGAAAATAACCACCTGATTTCCGACAGAGAACTTAACTGCAGTTGCTGTTATGCTTGCATAAACTGCAATGACACGTACGAGTCTAGTGAGCAACATATACAAGTTTATATATATGAAGAGTTAGGGAATGCCATAAATCATGTGAACCTTGTGAATATTTATCACGATTCTGAACTCACTCGACTAGAGATTATATGCAAAGTCACAGTAAATGACAAAGGATTGTGAAGCATGACATTGTCAAGCACTGAAATGAGACATTCTAAGAAAATGATCAACATGTTCTTATCAGAATTAAGAAAATAAAAAGAAAGGGCATGTCCTGAATTTAAATCAGCAATTGTAGCAATGCATTTGACTAAGATCGACTTTCTGCAAGCAATTACACAATGTACCTAGCACCCCGAACTGGCACAGCTTCATGATAAGAAGCCTAAAGTCCTCTGCAGGTATCCCGACGGCTACTTGATATTTATTTCGGAGCTGAGGTACATTCATCTGACCAATGTACCTTGAAAGCATGGGAAATTGAGATGCAAAGACTTGCCTAGTTTCTAGCTTTACTGAAATTGTAAACAGAAAGAGACGAGAAAAATTAGATAAGGAGGAGATTTTAGAACGCAAAGATTCAGATAATTCATCAAGTTTAAACAGATTGACAAAAGTCCTCAAAGAAATTGATAGACCCTAAAACAAGATTAATGCAGACAGATTGACAAAAATCCTCAAGAAACTGATAAACCCAGAAACAAGATCAATTTTTGGAACCAAATGACAACGTTAAACTTGAAAAAGAACAGAGCCCAATAATTCATCAAATTTATTGTTCTAGCCATTAGAACACAAAATGGCAGAAAGGTCATCAAATTTAAACAGATTTTAAACAAAACAATACTAGGAAACACAAATCAATGATTCAGACAATTAATTTAACGAAATGAACTTTAAACTTGAACAAAAACAGAGCCCCAAAAAACCATGTTTATGCCAGAATATTGGCAAAGTACTGTGATGGTTCAATTTCCAAATTTCTACATTTCTAAAACCCAGCTAGAAAGATCATAACTTGAAAACAAAAAATTCCCAAGATACGTTTACAATTAATACCCAAATCTTAAAATCTTGAAATAAAGAATTAGAGACCAATAAAAAATTAAAGAAACTCAGATGGTATATACTGAACCGTATAGTTGAGGAGATCAAAGTCAATGCAAAGAGCGGTGGCACTACCAGAGAGCTGGAGTAAATTGTTGAGAATTAATGACTAACTCACTGCCCTTTTAAGATCTTGTTGTTGATGGACTTTGGACAAAGAACTCAATGATGGATGAGTCTTACACACACACACAGAAATTAACCAAGCACAAATGACACAAGTGTTTATAGAGGTTCAGCAAATTGCCTACATCCTCTTTGATGATCACCTTGAGAAATTTCACTAATGAAGATAGGTTACAACTTTGGTTTACAAAGGAAACCCCCTTAGAACACTACCCTCACAATCTGTTTCTCTCACACCCTTGCTCAACACCTTGATACACTTAGAGAACTCTCTTGCTCTCCCCTTAGTTTTTCTGAACACACAACTAAAACTTC